TCAAAATAGCAGGTTTTTATTATATCATGGGGAACAATCGGCCCTCACAATGTAATATAAACATAATACACACACACACACACAGTGAACCCTGATCAAACAGAAACAGAGACTCTGGAGATTAGAATGGGGGGTGGGTTGTACAACACCCAAGTAGGATGATGAGTGGGTGCATTAAACAATGTTTAAATATGTGATATCTCACTTAAGTAAAGCTGTGACCCCCCCAGAGACAACGCTCACTGCTCCTGGTCTCCCTCCTTCCCCCCGCCTTCCTCCACAGAGGCGGTTCTAGGGACTCTGGGGGCCCTAGGCAAGAAAATCAAGGGGAGCCCCCAACTCCCCCAACACGGTGGAATTTATTACCATTATTTTAGCTCAAAGTCTAAATCAATTATGTCAACAAAGAGAATTTAGTAAGCATAAGTGCTTCATTTTGACTTTTATGAGAAACAGAAAACACAAATAAAGCAGATTTGTCGCTGCAATGTACTCGGCGGCCCTCGAGGGCCCCTCTCAGCTTGGGGCCCCAGGCCACCGGCTGCCTTGCCTCTGCTGCCGGCACACTTCTGCTCTCACACACAGAACAAACTTACCTTATTTAAATGATAATATGTTAGCATATGGGCTTGCCCCCCTTAAGCTCCACCCTCCTGCGTTTCAAACCAACCCTCTGACAGACACTGGTTGCGTGCAAATGTGCTAACATACATGAATGAAACAGAAGGGATGCAGAGGAAAGCCACAAACACAATGGACATCCTCTGATGCCTTCAGTATCTCATATTTCTATATGGTGACCCAGTCTCGCTCTATAGCAACAAAAACAATCTGTATTTTTCCAGCTGAGAAATCCTCATTATTGCTACCGACACATGCAATGACCCGCACATCGCGTTGGCAACGGGACACATTTTAAGTGCTTGCCCCTGTTACTTTACACCTTTTACCCACGGAAAAGTATCACTGGTTTGACTAGTAAGGGACCAAGAACACATTTCATGTACTGATCCTTAAACCCGTAATGGCCAGTTACATTCCATGCCAGTTGGATAGACAGACTATTTTATTCAGCACCTGAAGGTCCCTAACATATAGCAGCATAAAATAAACAGCGAATGACACTCCATGGATCAGATAATATATCTATCTTTAAAATAACAGACTAACCTCTTGAACCCTCTGAAATAACATGCAGTATGAGTTATGCATTAACACTATATATCTGTGTGTGTGTTTCACTGACAAGGGACACACTGGCTGTCACACTGTAGCACCGTGCCTGTGGATCTCAAACCAACCTCCCTCTGCGTGTGTGGAGCTTGCATGTTCTCCCCATGTCTGCGTTGGCTTACACTGGTCATGTGACGCCGCATCTCCTAACTGCCCGTAGCATGCGGTTGTGTTTCTGACTGTTTGGGCTGACATCCACGTGTGTGCATCAGGTACAGAGCTGCGGGATAAAAACACTGGTTTGAACCCCACGAAATTCTGTTTGGTCCCCCAGTCGACAAAACCTATTGAGCGGGACCTATCGGACTGGTATGCATTGCCTTGTGCCCAGAGTTTTCCAGGATAGGCTCTGGGATCCAGCAGAACGCTGTTTAGGGTACGTGGCTAAGAAGAATGGATCAATGTCTTATAACAATAATCGTCGCTGTTAGCAGTTAAAAATACACCAGTGTGTAAGTCCACTGATGCTGATCCTACACCAGGAACATGTTTCTGTTCGTTTTTTTTATGTTCATATAACTTAAAGTACACCAAAAGGTGATGTCAGGAATGATTAATTTGTTCCCAGCGGTTCCTATTCAGAGGCAGCTATAAATATTCTCAAGTTTGAAAAGCTGTATAAATTATGCTGGAGCCTGGTCAATAAGACGAGGAGAGCACCACTGTGGGGGCTAAAGCGGGGTGAGCACGCCGGTCCCCGGCCAGCTGAGGGTGCTTCGGTGACAGCTGGGAGCACTAAAGGAGTACCATAAGGAGTTAGGGTGCTTTGGGTGCAGCACCAAGCCCTGAGGACAGCGGGAACCTCTGACAGAGCATCAATAACATGTAAATGATGTTTCTGTTCCCTGAAAATACAATGAAGAAGAATCACAATGCCTGCAGCATGTCAGTTAACAGTCGGAAATTATCCAAAAGCTGCTGTTCCAATGGGGGTTATTTCTGATGTGCGGATTCCCCAAAATACCACCGATAATCACTGCAAATGCAAAGTTAAATAAAAGCTGAGTACTACCAGCAATTTATCTGGAATTTGGCAATAGAGGAGAGTCTAGTGGTGGGGTGATTACTAGGTACTGAGAGACAGTGGAGGAGGGAGAAGGCTTGGGTACCTAGTAAATGTGCCACGAGGTGGGGTTCCGATCAAAGGCACATAGAGGCAGAGTCACCTGCAATAACTCAGGGTGACCTGTGACCTGTAACTGGGAAAATGGCCCGATCACCCGACCTCCTCCCGGTACAAACCAGATCATTAAATGGGGGGGGGGGGGGGGAGGAGAGACTTCAAACTAAGTGTTTTTGGATACGTGTGTCAGCGAAGCCCTACACATTCTGCTACGGCAATAGGAAATTTGCTGTGATTACTGGAATTTAAAAATTTTCCAGTCCTTGGTTTCCATTTACCATCTGTTTGGTAATTTCACCGTTGGTAATGATTCTGCTGGCAGAGTTACATTTGGTTCATTTTACTACAATACAGTGCTACCAGTGTCTCTGAGTATAATCGCGTCGCCGTGTTTAGAAAGGACAATGTAAATAATCAGTGCTCGCCTAACATTAAAGGCAAACCTGAAAATGAATAATAAATGTTTGCTTCACCAATACGAACAAATTCTGGTGGCTGAGATCCCACCTCCTTCGACGTTGTACCTATTTGTCACCCTCTGTGAATTGTGGAAGGTTTTTGTCTTCCACATGACTCCAGAAAAGATGGCCGTCACAACATCGTTACGGAGTTGGCACCACTCAGCATAACAGCGGCGGCTAATCAGGGGGAGGCCTGGAAAGAGGACAACACTTAAAGCCACGTGCAAAGACGTGTGACGCTCACTCACAGCTATGTCCCCCATCACCACACCCCCACCCCCAGAGATTTTCACCCAGTAATTACAAGCTGGGGGAGACAGTGGTGTGAAAATACACTGAAAGCGATGAGAATGTCGTCTGAGAACAACAGTTTCTACAGAGTTAATTCTTTGCAAGTTTCTTGTGGGCTGATTAAGCAGGAACCACTGTCCAGAATGACGTCCCCGTTGTACCTATTTTGATGATAAGCGAATATAAATTCAAAACAGTTTAGCGTCACTACGGTATGATTTTTAGGAACATCCTGGGAGACAGAGGAGTGTAACTGAACGGTTTCTGTAGAATAATCAGTACAATGAAAGTAGGTCTAGCTTGGAGTAAAGTGGTGATGTAACTAAAGAATAAAGAGGAAATCTACTGGCAAAATGTGTTTATGCCAAAATATTGTACATCTAAAATCTGTATGGATTATATACAAATATCAGATCCTGTCTGTTGGTGATAAAGACTAATTGTGATTTAAAATAATTTAATTTATGTTATTAGGTAAACACTTGTACAGCAGAAGATTACAGATGCCGTGAATCAGCCAGACTGTCAGATTTCAAGTTTCCATTTATAATGAATAGAAATTTTGAAATGAATTGATTACCAGGTAATTACTGTCATTGTTAATAGCCAGTTCCAGGACAGGTTAACCTGTCACAGACCTAACCATTAATAAATGTTTCGCCTCACTTTGGCAGCCATGTGGCTGAATACACCCGACGCTGTCAAAGCAAACATTTTCCATTTTCATTCCAAATGAGTGCTTTCATTTCTCGCTATTCAGATTGACCGTCACCGAAAGGCAGCCTAATGGCTGGTAAACCACGTCCTGGAAATGAACAGTCCGTTATAGATGCACCTGCTGCAAGGCGCCACTTACTGGGAATCCCACACAGACACACACGCACACCCCTCTGCACTCACTGGGTAAAATGGACTGATCGCTGATAAAATGATCTGACCATTTATCTACAAACTCACATTTCCACAAGTTAAATATTATCAGAAGCACCTGTCAAACTCATTCAATACTTAGTCAGGTTTAATACAATAAGAACTAAATCTGCCCAGTAACTTCAGTTGCATGAAGAACTGTATAAAGAGATATTCAGACTCGTATTTTTGTGATGTGTCCGCTCTGTTGTGCTCTGTTGAGTCTTAAAGTGCAATTTCATATTGCAATTCCAATTTTTCTAGAAGCGACCGAGTCCGGGCCTTATTGTATTACTGCTTTATGACTGAGGCACTTTCAAGCCACGAAGAATGCAGTTAATTAAAACTGCCGTCCTTGTCCACTTATCTTTTAATGTCCGACCAGTGAAGTCTGGCGCGCCCCAAATCTAAGCGTAGCTACTCGGGTTCTTTCAAAGGCGATGAAAGAGCGGCCTCTGTCCGGCGCTACAGCAACCTGTATAACCATCCCCACCCAAAACCATTAACTATTACGTGACTAAATGCGCAGCAATTTCATTTCCGATCAGTTCTGCGACTGGAAGCTTGAACTCACTGGTTCTCCAACACACTAATGAAAAAGGAAATGCAATTTAATCGGCAGAGATTTCTCGTAATTCAAACATGCTAGAAATGCGACAATAAACCGAAAAAGTCTTACGTCCAAGTGCTATTCATAATTATTTATAATGAAAATGATCTGATTATCGTTTCAGTTAGGCCTGCAAATTATCACAAACTAATAACTTTTCTACTTCCCCTTGTTAAAATCATCTCAAGGTAATGAAAAGTATATATCAGCATTATTTGACGTGACATTGAATACTAGGCATATTTAAGCAGCATGATTTGTTTCGGACGTCAAATCACAACACAGAAAGACCCGACGTGGGTTTCTAAACGACTAAAGCAACAGTAAGCGCTGGCTTCACGCTTGCCGAGGGACATGTGGAGGGAGAGCCTACCTTCGGTTCTTCTGCGCCTCTTTCTTCTCCATAATATCGGGCACGCAGTTGGTGAGCTCGGTCCAATCTGCGTGCAAGCCGCAGCTCCAGCCTGTTGAGAACCTCGAGAAGAGCCAGGACTCCTCTTTACCGGGCCGGTAGCAGGTGCACTTCTTCTGGCCCGGCTTGCAGTCGCACGGCTTCTCCAGGCGGATATTCCTGACCAGGTGTCTCCCGAAGGTGGTCCCGCCAGTCTTCTGAATGTGCAGGAACACGATCACGTCGTCTCCTTTGATATTGAAATCCACCTGACGGTCCAGGTCCCTCTCCGTAAAGTTAAATTTCGACTGAAATTTAGGAGGGTAATCATCTTCCAGCTCTTGGTCTCGGTATAGATCGTCAGCTGACGAATATTCATCGGACAGGGGACTTAGTCCCGTTAACTTTTCCCCTGTCCTCAGAGGACAAGAGTTACTCCCTGCAGGACATATATATTGGTACCCGATCATCACAAAAAGAACAGCTAAAACTGGAAGCAGGATCACTTTGTTGGATTTATCATCCATGTTAACAGAAGGTTTATGCCATCAGCATTACAACACTAACAAGAAACGTCTACGAGTGACACCCGAATATCTAAAAGACTTTTCATCCTATTTAAAAACAAATAACATGCGATATGTACAAACATATGTCTTTATCAGGTGTTGTTTTAGCCGAGGAAAATATCAAACAAGGGCTGGGGTATCCTTTGCAGCTCTTCTTGTGAAGGCACACATATTAAAGACGTGAAAGCTCATGCAATTCCCAGTAATATTCTACCTCGGTTAACACGCATGCATACAGCAGATCAAGACGGTGCAAAAATCCTGCGACGCGTTACTTCTCCCGGCGTCTGTCCATCTGTAAAAGCGGAGTGTCCGTGGGGTACCGAGGACGAGCTTACACCTGAAGCGAGCCATCCGACATCCTGAGCCGACGCGTCCTTCGGCCGGCAAAAATATAACGTTATGTAAACTATTTTACGCTGAACATGCATAACGCTCCCATCGCCCAACACACAAAAGCACAAAGTTCCTGCGTCTCAGAAATGCCACGTTTATCCCAGTCCCATAAAATCCAGGGGCGCGCATCACAGAGACGCGCTTCTGCAGCCCGTACCAGTGAGATCCTCTCCCGAAGTACGACGTAAATCACTAAAATAGTACAGATCGTTCAAAAGCTCTTCTTGGTTGACGAATTGACTTCAACTTTAGCCTTCAACTTCAAATATCGTTCTATTCAGATATTACGGCCGAAGAGACAGAAAACGCAGATTTCCCCGGGAGCCTGCGAAAGTCTCGGTCACTGCAGCGTGTAACCGCTACCCAGCATCCCAGTAGTGTGGGGACTGGTAAAATCATCGGAAAGGAAGTGCGAGCAGCACGCTGTTCACTTCTTTATCGCAAGCAAAAGCAAACCAATAGCAATTAAATAAAAATCACATTTTAAAAGCGAAACTATACTGTTGTGACCCAAAGAGCAGACGTGGAACTACCAAATTCGAGAACACGATCTATACAACAGCCGGAGTTATGACATCAAATTCCCAGCAGTCGGCTGTGTGCAATTCGGACAACTGTGGCGCTCAGACTGGCGCTGAAAGGGAGTCGCAGGACATTTCAGCACCATGGAGAGATCCACCCCCTTCGGAAGTAGGAATCATCGACGTTTCCATTTTAAAGTTAAAAATCGTAGGATCCTGCTTTCATAGTAGGAAAATATATGTGGAAAAAGCAGTAATGTAAATATAAAATTGGGGCTACAGTGTCATAGCCTTTATCATAAATGGACAGAAGGTTTTCATTATCTTAGGATGTATTACTCATAATAGCATACCGGTTCTTGCTGGTTTTACTGTGTAATTGGGGGGACAAGCTACACACCAAGCAGTTTTGCACGTAAAAAATATAAGTAGCCTACATATCCTAGGTTCAAAAGACCATGTCCCTACGGCATGACCAGTGGGTAATTGATGATAAATTAGGCGGCACAAACAGATTTTGTTTGTGGGCACTATAATTAGACAGCTAAGTCAGCAACTATGTTCTGGTTTTTATGTTAGCCTGTGTTCAAAGTATATATAGAAAGAGAGCATATCAATCAATATTCAATAACATCTTCTCCTCTGATTAGGGTGGCGGTGATTCGAATTAGCCTATGCGAGGAGGGACAGGTCGTAAGGCAGAGCGTTCCCTGGGAAGGGATACCCACTTAGTGAAATTTAGAGTTCCCTGTTCTATAGGAACCGCAGATCTTTGGTCGCAAGAAAACCACACGCTCGTGTGCACGTAGACAGAAACAAAACCCAACCTATAAGGATGCGCACAAACGAAAAACCCAACCTTTACGCATGCGCAGAAACGAAAACCCAACCTATACGCACGCGCACAAACGAAAACCAACCTGTACGCCTGCACAACGAAATCGGGATTGACTCTGGACATCCTATAAAGTCCGAAGCAGCAACGATGTCACTTTTAAGTGTGTTTGCGAAACATATATCTATTTATTTTAAACGCGTTTAAACCACATGAAAAGAGGTGTTAAAGCATGAAACAGAAAATACAGCTAAGTTTGCTCCCTCACAATACTTCCAAATAAAATTTTCAAAAGTTTCCGCAAGATGAATAAAAGTAGTCTAACACAGGTCTAATTAGGTTTATATAATCTTAATACATCTTATATTATACTATATTATATTATATATAATATGCAATCCGTAACTGTCCTGGATAAGCGGTTGGAAATTGATGAACTGATGCAGCATTTAATTCAATGTATTCTTTATTGGTTTAGCCCTGTGTTTTAGGAGCTGCTTTTACTCAGTGATTTTTTAATTCAGAGAAATCACACTTACAATCATCTAATTGTTACAAATGGAATACGGACCAATTAGGCCGACTCTAATTACTTAAATTAGCAGAGAAATTTGTATTCTGTACAGAGCTGAACCTTACACAATGATTATAAACGAGCAATGCCAGTGTGAACAAACGTGCATTTAATCACTTGATTTAAGTGGTTAGTGCCATACACATCGTTTAAAGTTTTCAGTTGCCCATTACCATTAGCATCAATGGCACTAGAAAGAAAAAAAGGAAAAACTTCAGATTTTTAAATAAAATTGTGCTTAACATTTTTGACGGAAGGACTGCAGGCTAGATGTAACCCAGGGTATGCAAATTCCCATATAAGATGTTCTTCTAGTATTTCCTGGCATAAACATATGTGTTTTTTTCCTTGGAAATGCTTAGTATAACAGGTAAACTACGTCGGCAAGATGAAACAAGTAGTAGACAAACTTGTAAGGGGAACATTTAGAAAGGAGAGCCCTTGATTTGTGACGACTAGGCCTATATTGTGGATTTGGTTGGGTGACGTACTGCGTGGCATAGCCATGCAGGTATGTCTTCTGTTAGAGAAGCAATTAGTTATGGAAGACTGATGGTCAGATATAATACTTAATCCCACCTTATAAATTTCACACCGTGAATCTGAATAACAGTAAAACAGATTTTGTTTAATAAAGACTAAAGTTTTTTTTTAAGGTAAACCAATGTTTAATTTTTCCTCCCTGAATCCCACAATCCCAGGTTTATTTTTAAAGTTATCTAAGCTTTCTTTCTGGTGATGTCATTGTTTCCATTATGTGTATTTTTGGAAATAGCACTTAATGTTGTTGTAATTAGTAAGGTTCCATTGTTTTTATGAGCCGTGAGATGGGTGACTGAGGGGTGTGAAATTCTGAGCACTGTGGTGTGAAGGTCTTCAGAGATCAAAAGGTACTGCATATTTTTGATGGGGTTCCTCAAGGCAGCGGCTGAGCAGGGCATTCTCTGCCCCCAGCTGTACTGCAGACAATGAGGCTCAGGTTCACCATTCATATGCACAGCTGAAAAACAGTACATTAACCACCGAGTGTGTGTGTGGGGGGGG